CCCTTAAAATCGAGCATTATGTTAACCCCTCTTTATATTAATTTTTGCTTTATTTCAAAGACTGCATGTATGCATCATCCTAAATATATGCAATCCTAGAAATAGTTTTGTGTATATATGAAAATAATTTTAATAGTGTGATAAGTATACATAGACTGTATTTAAAAGCAGAATTTTCACTTGTTGAAGGGAAAAGTGCTACAATACAAACCATTGGTTTGACTTAACTTTTTATTATGTTTAAAATAAAAATTTTATAACATTTTAAAAGAAAAAACAATTTTTTAATGTTAAATTAAAAGGATTTTTTGATTCAATGTTAAAAGCAGATCCTTTTGAAACAGGTATTACAATATTTTATTTCATTAACAACGGTTTTTGTTTTGTTTCTTTTTTTTACGTTAATTTGTTTAAGTAGATTTGTCATAAAAAAGAACTTTTCCAAGTTCAAACTTCTTTTTCTCTTTTTGAATTTCAATTCAACTTTCTTGTTACATTTCTCTTTGTGTTTATTGTATATATATATATACATACCTTAAATTATATTTTTAATATCATACAAATGTTTGTAAATATTCAAGACATAAACCATAAAAATTCACTTAACATAACATTAAATTACAATGACATATATAACCGTTATAAAATATTCTCTTTATATATTTTTGTTTATTCAATTTATTCAATGTTTTTGTTTTTATTATTATTTAGTTAAGACTTCATAACATAATATTGTATGCGCTCTCTCTCTCTTATCAAAATACGTCACGTTGTATATAAACATTGAACTTTGAAAATAATTTATAATATTATTAATATGGTGTCAACATTATCGTAAAGTGTAAAAATTGAAATCCATAGAGACAAGTATGTAAGTACATATTATATGAGTATAACACATACATGTATACCTATGTACATTATTTATTTCAATATTATTATCTATATGTCAGTGGTGTTATATAAAATAACTAGATATTTTGGTGATGTTGTTACAATAATTACTCGTCGAAAATATAAATTTCACTGAATATACACATATAATAATGTGCTTATTATATTATGTGCTCAGTTTATGGTAGTTTCGTTCGGTTTAATTTTGTTTAGGTGCTAAATATGACAAATATCGTAAATGTAGAAAAGTTTCAACCAAATTCTTGTACCATACAAGCACTGTGAGAAATTGACAAGAGAAATCAACGTGAATCTTAACCCCTCGTAGACATAAATCAAAAAATAATTACTTTCACTGTAACACAATTTGTTTAGCCTTCCTTGCGTTACGAGTTACCACGCCTTTAATAAAAATTAAAGTAAATGGTAAGTGAATTGGGGTCTTCTTCCCCAATAAACAACCTTATAATTAAGAAATAACTATTACACTCTTTATGCATAAGTGGTCTATTTCAATCATTATGTCAAGTAAACGTGTCATTTAAGTTTCTTATTTGCGTTTAACCCCAGAAGTATGCAAAAAAAAGAAAAAAATATGATTTGGAAAGAATAATATAAATATAAAAAGTATTTTCGTTGTGCTTGTTTTCAAATTAGCACTAGTTAGCACTTACTGTTCAAGATAAAGTAAATGGTAAGTGGCAATATTAACAGTTAAACTTTTAAAACTTTTACAGTTTCTTTAAGATTTTTACAATTAACTTCTAAGTGTAAACTTTTGGCTCAATATTTTATGAAATCATTTCATCACTGCCTAATTCTATATTAGAGAATATTATAGAAAAAAAATTGTAATCGGTGAGAAATGAGATGATTTTTTTGTTTTTGTTTCTTATTATATTCAAGTTTTCTTTTTTTTCTCTCTCTTTTGCTCAATTAAATTCAATGAGTGAATCAACGACCACAGATCATTTGAAAAATTTTTTTTATATTTTTTGTTTTTTTTTTTTTGTATTTGGTATAAGTGATGAATTTTGTCTCCATAATAAGCTCTTTTTTATATTTTTTATCTTCATTAGAGATGATTTTGCTCTTCACAAAAATAATTTTGTTTTTGAATTACGTTGTTATCATAAAACATCAAATAAATAATAATAATAAAAACGAACAAAAAAAAAATTAATAAAAAAAAAAATTCTTTTTTGTTTTTTATTTTGCGCATTTTCCTTTTTTTTTAGCAAAGCTTAGAATAGTTTTTTTTTATGTCCTGGCATAAATTAAGGTTTTTTTAACAAAATTATATTCTAAAATTAAATTTTCAATTATAATATATACGTTAATGGCTTTAATTAAAAGCACCTATTAGACAATTATTAGAAATTAAGTATTAAAAATGGAAAGCTTACACAATATTAAAATTAAAATTCTTGAATAGAATTTCTGTAGGTTCGTTTCTCATCACTAATGGCCGAACGTAAAATATCATACTTTATTTTTAAAACGTTTCTTATTCACAAAAATAAGAGAAATTAATTTGCTTGTCACTTAACATAAAGATTAAAGAGTGAGAGAAACAGAAAAAATCTCTCAAAGAGAATTTAAAAATTTAAGTAAAGCTTTAAGTTTAGAGACCTCTAATATCACTCATTTAACATGTTCATATGTAAAAAATCAAAAATACACACCCGCAAATTTTTAAACAACAATGCCAAGATAAGACATGTTGTCCCCTTAAATTGTTTTCAGAACTCTAACGACATTCTTTAATAAATTCAATTTAGCATTTATAACTTCTCTTCTTTGGATTTTTTTCTTATTTTTAATATTAAAATTAATTTTCCGTTGCCACTTTTTTTTCCACTTAAAAATTCCTATGAATCCCCGACTACCGGTTCATTGTAGTTTGGGAGTTAATAATCATATTATTTATTTGTGTATTTATGCATAAGATTGAAAAATCCCCGTTGAGTAAAATTGTGCAAAAAAAAAAACAAAAAAGAGATGAACTGAAACCAAAAAAAAATTAAAAAAAAAAGGCGTTCAGTACAAATAAAAAAGAAAACATTGACATATGACTATGTATAAAAAAAAAATTTAATGAATGAATTTAATGAAAGAAAAAAACAAAAGCAAAATTAAAAACAAATCTGGTTACTGAGTTTGATTACTTAGAAAATATGATAATTGATCCGAAATTTAGTGTGGTACATAAAAATTTTGATAATGACGTAAAATTAATTATCAGTATATGACTGTGTATGACGATTATTTTATATTGAATGTGCTAAAATATACTACATGTAATATTAGAGCAAGAACGAATATTATGAGTGTACATTTGGAATTTACTCGTTACTTTCACATATGTTAGTAGTAGAATTTTTTTCATACTAAATAATACTGAATTAAATTTTTATTTTAATGATCTGACAAGGTTGTTAACCCTCGATTATTCATTTGGAGGACCGATACCAACTACACCATTAATAAGATCGACTTTACAAACTGCAGATGTTCATTCAGTATTCAGTAAAATACTAAATATTCAATATACCGCAATGGAAGACTTATTCTCTTAAAATTATTTTTTATTATCATAACCTGTTATATTTGTGCAATTGTAGTATTAATGTTTAAAAATATCGACTTTGTTTTCGTATTCCTTTATATACAAGAAAGAGTTTAGATTTCTGTTTTAGATTTCTACTGATGTCAATTGAATAGCGCTCTATTTTTTTCGGCACTGAGTTTTAATACTATTTTCCTTCTTCACTCCTAGGTGGAGCATAGAGCTAGTGCATGATATCATAGGTAGTCATGCACCAGTTTCATTTCGTCATAGAGTTTTAACTAGGACTACTGTGCCGTAGACTGAGTTTTAATAATGAAGTGAATCTAATTTTCACACGTCAAATTTTCATAAAATTTTAATCGAATCAAACAAAGTTCATGGAGGAAATGTTTGATATAGGGAAAATCCAGGCTAATACGTGTATGAAAGCACTTGTAATGTCTCAAATACAAAACAATAAGTTCTTGAAATTAATTAAAGGAAATTAATTAAATTTAAATGTAAGTAAAATATGCTCATACTGTCAGTTAATGAAGAATGTCAGAACTTTGATTCTTTTAGCAAATATTCACAGGAAACAGACCACCCTAATTGGAATTATAATTGCACATACATATGTAGGTATACTAAAATAAAATAAAAATCAAATATATTATTTTAATCGATATCATTTTTGTTTACATTTTTTTTGTTAATTTTTATGTAACATTTAAGATATCACAACTATTTTATAAAAATAATAATTTTAAAAAATTTTATTAGCAGTTTAATTAGTTATCTGCAAACGATAACAGCAATAATTCTGATTATTCTAAAAAAAAATTATTTTAAATTTTTATCACCAATTTTAGTTTATAGTTTGACAAACGGAACACCTTAAAATTAAAAAAATAAAAAATTTACTTAACCTTAAAAACGCTTATCTCCTAAAATATATTTTTGACAAGTGACATTACAAATTTTAAAATTTATTATAAACATTATTTACGCTTATTTGAATTTTAATTATTTATATAAAAAAAATTGAACAAAACACTGAAATTTGTATAGTGTATAAGTATATCGCTTAAAATACGTTTCAAATTCCGAAAAATAATACTGTTGTTTAAATTTTATTAAATTAATAACATTAATTATTTATTAATTAATTAATATTGAGCGAAAAGAGTTGATTAAATAGCAAATTAGCATAATAAAATTCATAATAATAATTTCATTTTAATTAAATTGCAAAAACAATCAAAATATTGAGATAAATAAAAAAGTTCCTCATTGTCTCGTTCTCTTCTTTTTTTTTCATAAAATAATTAAATTTAATCCATAAATTTTATAATAGCATTAAAAATAAAACACAATTAATTTTTATAATAAATTTTCTGTTACAAATAGCTATTATAATATTATAACAGTTATTTGTTTTTCAATATAATAAAATATTTGTGTAATTTAAAAAAAAAAAAAATAGAAAAAAATTAAACAAAATTAATTTCAAATAAATGACAAAACATTTCATTACAGTTAGTGTTGTGCATTATGTCACTAATTATTAATTATGTATTATTACTTTGCATTTGTTTATCAGGTAAGAATAAAATTTTAATCCCGTTTGTTTTTTTTTGTTATGGTCAATATTAAAAAACAATTATTTCAATATTAAAGAGAAAAATAAAATTTATTTAATTAATTAAAATCATAAGGTGAAATTACAATATTTTCATATTTATTGTAAAAAATATTTTATTATTTTTATATTAATCTCCATACTGGCCCCTGGTTGCGAACCATAGCATATTAAGTATGACCATACCATAATGTGTTTAATAAATAACTTTGTTGATCTACATACATGTATGAAGGTAACAGATTACAAAAACCAAGAAAAATTTCAAAACATTAAGTTTACATATCTAGTTCTAATTTGACTTCTTTACAACTGGTCTTAATGTTGTTACTGAAATCTTAGCTCCAATAAATTAAATACGAAAACTATGTGTAAAACTCTTAATACAGGGCAATATTTAAATCAAATTATTTTGAAAATTTAAATTTTTAATGTTTCTGAGTTCTAATTGATGAATTGTGTACCAATGCACACAGTATTGTTTTTAAAATTGGGAGTTCATATTAAAATTTATGTGTTATTGTCAAAATTTGACTCAAAAATGTTTTTGTGTTTGGACTTATTTTTTGATATTGAAATGTTCAGCTATACTAATAGTCTGTTTCTTTGTCCAACTTTTGTTTGACGACTGTATATACTTACACAAAGTCATTTTTTCGTTAAACAAAATTATTGTTTTAAATTTATTTAAAAAATTTTGATAAAAATTTATCTACATATATGAATTTCATTATTCCGCATTAAATTTTTAATGAAGATAATAAAATTAATAGAAGGAAAAAATTATTTATAATAAGTATGACATATGAATATTGTCATTTCTTATGAGAATTTTCCAAAAAAAAAATTCAAGATACAAAAATAGGCTAACTTTATGCGGCATCTATAATTTTATTAGTGGCGCTTAAGAATGGCGTTAAAAAAGTTTTGATAACAAAAATCCTATGTTAAAAACTAATAATAATAATTCAATGTAGGGTCATAGTCATAAATAAATTTTGAAAATTTGTTTATTAGTATATTTGTATTAATAATTATGTAAAACGCATTTTGATCAAGAAATTTGATTAATAATAATAACATAAATAAATGTAAAATTAAGCAATAATTACTATTTTTCTAATATTTTGTTTGCTGGGATTTTTGTTCTCTACATTTAAAATACACACCTCAAATTAAAAAAAAAATAATATTTAAATGCGGAATAGTTCAATAAAGCAATAAAATTTTATACCTACTTACTAAATTTTAAATTATCAAAGGTCATCATTCCAAGAATAAGAGAGCAATTTTCTTTCCTCTCCCTTCAACAGAGATGTTAGTTAAAAAAATTCATAATTCTCTTTATACCCGTACGAACGTATGTTCGAAGGGTATACTAAATTTGCCTTACCGTTTGTAACGCTAAGAAATAACGGTGTTAGATATAGACTCAAGTGTATGTTTTTGATCAGCGTCAAATTCTGAGTTGATTTAGCTTTGTCTGTCCGTCCGTCCGTCCGTCCGTCCGTCCGTCCGTCCGTCCGTCCGTCCGTCCGAACGATAACTCAAAAACTAATTGAGCTAAGCTCACCAAATTTTCAGAAATGATTTATTGTAGTAAGTGCCAGAACCCTATTTAAATTGGACATGATCGGGGTACCGGTTCGGATAGCTGCCATACAACTTCAAAATTTATTTGGCTATATCTCAGAAACTATAAAAGTTATGGTATTGAAATTTCACACAAACGAATATATTAGTAGGGCCAATATGCCCCATAAAAGTTGTTGAAATTACTTGGCTCCTTCTGGTACCTGCCATACAACTTCAAAAGTTATTTGGCTATATCTCAGAAACTATAAAAGCTGTGATATTGAGATTTCACACAAACGAATATATTAGTAGGGCCGATGTGTCTCATAAAAGTCGTTGAAATTACTTGGCTCCTTCTGGGACCTGCCATACAACTTCAAAAGTTATTTGACTATATTTCAGAAACTATTAAAGCTATGGTATTGAAATTTCACACAAACGAATATATTAGTAGGGCCAATGTGTCTCATAAAAGTCGTTGAAATTACTTGGCTCCTTCTGGTACCTGACATACAACTTCAAAAGTTATTTGACTGTATCTCAGAAACTATAAGAGCTGTGATATTGAGATTTCACACATGTGAATATATTAGTAGGGCCGATGTGTCTCATAAAAGTCGTTGAAATTACTTGGCTCCTTCTGGGACCTGCCATACAACTTCAAAAGTTATTTGACTATATTTCAGAAACTATTAAAGCTATGGTATTGAAATTTCACACAAACGAATATATTAGTAGGGCCAATGTGTCTCATAAAAGTCGTTGAAATTACTTGGCTCCTTCTGGTACCTGACATACAACTTCAAAAGTTATTTGACTGTATCTCAGAAACTATAAGAGCTGTGATATTGAGATTTCACACATGTGAATATATTAGTAGGGCCGATGTGTCTGGTAAAAGTCGTTGAAATTACTTGGCTCCTTCTGGTACCTGCCATACAACTTCAAAAGTTATTTGACTATATTTCAGAAACTATTAAAGCTATAGCAACTTAAAGTCATAGTCTGCCCCATAGTTAGTTATGGCACATTAGTTATTCGCACATAGGATAACAAATTCGTACGGGTATCACAGAGTTGACAAGGTCAACTCTATTTTTTTCTCGTTTTCTTATTATTTTCTTCTATTCAAATGAAATCAACTCATATATCACGTGATTTATGATATTTTCTAAAATCTCTTCATTTAAATTTTGATAATATTAAAATTATATTAATTACTCGTATATACATTAATACTTATGTGAACACTCATCATATGCTACTCATGTAAAAATGTTTTATCTCAAATTTTAAGCTCAAAGCTCAACATCAGAACAAAATATCAGTATTTCGATAATATTCATTGAGAGAAGTCAAAAAATATCTCCTCTCTAAATTTTATATAGAGCTTAGTATTGTATTTGAATAATTTTTAAAACATGATTTATATTGTAACAACACTATCATACAGGTTAGTATAGGAGAAGTAGGTATTGCTGTTTAAAATGAAATAAGAATAAATTTACAAAAAAATGTGTTCAAAATACCATCATATTGAAATAAAAATATTCAAATTCTATAAATAAAATTAAAGAAACAAAATTTGGAAATTTCATCTAAAATTTTCAAAAAAAAATAAAAAAACCCAAATACGTAAAAATATTTACACAATTATGCACATCAATATTTTTTATCAATAAAAAATAATAATTTATACAAAAATTAAAAAAACAATCTACCAATAAAAATTTTTATTCCAGATTTTAATATTCAAACGATATCAACAACACCAATACCATTTCAATTTACATCATTCAAAATAGAAACATCCGAATCATCAAAATTCAAATCATCATCTTATAATATATCAAATTCAATAATAAAAATGTCTCATCCTCCAATTAATTTACCAAATATAATAAATCGTTCAGATTGGGGTGCTAGAGAACCAAAATTAATTGAACATTTTAATAGACCAGCACCATATGTTATTATACATCATTCATATATACCGGGAGCATGTGAAACTACAGATGATTGTAAAAAAGCAATGAGATCAATGCAAGATTTTCATCAAATTGATAGAGGATGGAATGATATTGGTTATAGTTTTGCTATTGGCGGTGATGGTAATATTTATTATGGTAGAGGTTTTAATGTTGTTGGAGCTCATGCACCAAAATATAATAATAAAAGTGTTGGAATATGCCTTATTGGAGATTGGCGAAGTAAGTATTAAGTATATATAATATTCAGAATCATAATAATAATGATGTAGAATATTTTGTTTTGTAAACAGAATTTATAATATTAAATATACTTTCATTTTGAATTTCTCAAAATGCAAACTGTTATCCCTATAAAATTAGGAACCGAACAATATAAATGTACTGGATAATGCAAACTATATATTGATTTCATTTATATCAGGATATAAATAGTCATCTGGATAAATGAAATTAATTATAATATTTCCAATCTTTGCAATCTATTTCATAAATCTACAAATTTATTTCAACGAATTAAAAACTAAAATTTTTGAATAAATCACAAAATTTTCCATTCGTTAACATACTTATAGTATCTGATAGCTTATAACAACAAATAAAATATTAAAATCATAAATATTTTGCTTCGATATTCATAGCGTGATATATTCTTCATATATATTTGTACATATACATATATGCATTTGTTGATAGCAGTACAGATTATTAAAGCAGTGTTATTCTATTTCGAAATCGCGAATTTTGTATAATAATTTGCATTTAAATTTCAAAAATTTTTAATATATATGAAAAAATACACTTATATATTTTTATTTATTTTATTTACTGCAAAAATATTTGTCTAATTTAAATATTAAAGTTAAAAAGTATAATTTCGTATAAAAAATTAAAATAAATTTTAAAATAATAAACACCGCTGCTAATATCCTATAGTCTTCGATTAGAAAAATTTATAATGTTAGAGAAGCACTCTTGTTATTATTAGCGCAGACTGACCCAAGGTTACTCTCAAATTTATCCTGAAACATTTGCTTTCTTTATGATCTTGAACGGTCGCACATATAGTCTGTACTCATAAATCTGTGCAGGCATTCATTCAAAACACTCACTTAAAAATAATTTTCATATTACATTCATTTTTCTTAATTTAAGGTTATTGTTCATTTAATTTAATTAAAGAGATCAATAAACAATAATAATGAGCAATTCAACAGCAATTCAGAAAATCAAACATTATCAATCTTCTATATAGCTAATAATGATGTAATCTCCTTTCATATATTGCTTTTAAATTTTGTATCAATTGATAAAATTATAATGACATATCCACTTAAAAATAATAATTATACAAAATGTCAACTTTATAATTAGTAACAATTTAATAAAGATTTAGTTGAAATATTTCGAACGCTAAATTAATGATTTTTTGGCATCATCATCAAATATTATAATGCACGCATATACCTACATACATATATAAAATAAATTGAGTGATTTAAAAGGATTTTTTAATTGAATAAAATATTTTACTTTGATAATTAAATTAAAATTATAATATGAGATTTATAATTGAATAATTATTATTGATTTATTTGTCATATCAATTTATTCTTATCGAATTCATAACAATGTTATTTTAGTTTATTTTAGTATTATAAAATAAAATTTAGGCCTATGCATACGATACAATTAGGCCTGTATATAAGATATAAAAATTAATTATCTTATATGTGAATTGTTATATAATTGAGCATTCTTAAAATTTGAGGAATCCGGGAATATGAAATTTTATTTTAAAGTGCTTCATTTAATTCGGTTAAAGAAATTATTCATTAAATAATTAAAATTTTCTTACAAAGAACTAGGTCAACACCTGACCACATTTATATTAATTTTATTTAGAAAACGCTTTCTATTACAGTAGTTTTTTGGATAATGTGGCCACTTGTGTTTGTACAATAGGGATGGGTGAATTCTTTAAAAATTTTGACTTTCGAGTCTTAGTGATGCAGCAGAATTACATCAACTTCAAGCTCTTACCATAGATTTTTCAAGTCGGCGATAATGAAAAATCGCATTTTCCAGGAGGGCCTTTTCAAAAAATTACTTTTTATCGGTCTAATTTCGATTTACCATACTGCTTCAAAAATATCAGGAAGTCACAAACACACTGTAAAATGTACAATATAGAATTACAAAAAATTAGTAAATTAATTAAAATGATTCAAAATTTAATCTCCCTAATCTTTTAATCTGTTGTGCCACTTTCATGATTATTGAACGTGAAAATCAAGTTTAACTCTGTTTTTCCCCGTTTAACATAAACAAATTTTTTTAATTACCTTAGTTGATCATTCAACAATTATAAATATTTCATTTTGTTAATAAAAACAAAAAACCTTCGCATTTGTGAACAATTTTACTAATAAGTTTTCTTTCAAATTCATAAAACTTGTGTTAAAATGCTCATTTATTAAGGAAATTTTATTATAATTTAATTTTAATTTTCATAAATTATAATAATTTTAAAGGATTTATCAAAATATTTTGTTTTATGACTAAAATTAATCAACTTTCTTAATTACACGTAAATTTTATTCATACATAATAAATTACAGCTGGATATACAAAATTAAAATTTCTTATTTTTGTTATTGAAACATGCAATCAAAATGCATAACCATTAATAATATTGTTACAGCTTTTATATAAAGCATAAATAAATCTTATTTAATTTTTAACCTAACATGTAACATAATTTGCTCTAATGAGTAATTTATGTTACTGTTAGAAAGATAAACACTCGAATTCAATTATAAAAGTCTGGATATAAAAGCATGGGTACAGGAAAAATTAGAAAAAACAATCGATTTATTAAAATACCAAATACCAGTGCATAACCGGAAGTTTACTTAGGCTTTGCTGTAAAGGACTCCCTTGAAACCTATCCTTCTTACAAATTCAAGTATATTGTGGGAATCGACTTCTCACAGTTCTCTTGCTGAGAGGACGCAATCACCTAGAGACTTTCTCCTGCTGTGGACCAACGCTCCACATTCACCAAGAACCTATGCTAGTGCACGAAATGGTTCCTTTCCCAAGAAGTGTTTTGTCCGACCTCGCCGCTGGTATATCAACACGCTCATTACCCTCTCTACCAACGTGATGCGGCACCCTATCAAGACAGAATATAAGCTCAAGGGTCCAATAACAGTGCAACTGTCCGACATGATCGCTATTTCATACTAAAGATTTCATCATTCGATATTTTTAATTTCTGCTGTAACTTCATCATTTTATTTACTTCTTGTTCCAAATTACAAAAACAAAAAAATAAAATGGTACTTTACAAAATTAAATAAAAGCTCACAAACTATAAAGCGTAAACTACATATATGTACATACATATACTTTGTTAAAATGCCTTAGACCATGTAAAGACAAAGCTGTAGTTATTAATTTGTCAAAGCTTTATTCATTCATATATATGAAAATAAAGAGAGAAAATAATTACATTTTCTACTGGAGCATAAAGTTAAATATTAAAATTTTATATGCACAGTAGCTCTGTATACAATAAAATTCATTGAAAACATTGTGTGTGCATGCGAACAGAATTTAAATGAAATTTTACTAGATTTTTAATGAAATTTTTAAATTTACGTCAAATTAATATTAAAGTTAAAATTAAATAATAAATTTTTTGTTTTGTTAGTAATTTTTTTAGGAATTTTGAAAATGTACTATTGATTTTAAAAAAAGCATAAAATTTCAACACATTTTACCTCGTTCTCCTAAATATATGCAATTTTTCCCGTTTAAAATTTAATATAGAATATTAAAAAAAATTAATACCTTTAAAAGTTCTTTGATATTTTGCAAAACAGTTCTAAACTTTCATTTTTTAATTAAATTTTTTTTTGTTTGTTTTATTTTAGCTGAGTTACCATCGGAAAAAATGTTAAAAGCAGCACAAGCAATAATAAAATATGGAATAGAAAATGGTCATGTTGATCCAAATTATGAATTATATGGACATCGTCAAGTTCGAAACACTGAATGTCCGGGTGATCGTCTTTTTAATGAAATATCAACATGGTCACATTTTAGTCCAAATCCAACAGAAATACGTAAAAATGAAATAAGATGAAAATTTAATCAAAAAAATTTGTTTTTAATTAATACAATAGAAAAATTACACAGTTACAAAATTTAATTAAATTAATTATTTTAAGTATAAAAGTAAATTATTTTAAATCAATTTAGGAAATTAAATAATAAAATATTATATTGTTTTACTAGTTTGATTTTTAGTTAAATTAATAGAAAAATAATGTTTTTTAACTGACAGAAGAATTTATAAAGAATTCACAAATTTTAAATAGCAAATTTGGCATTCAACCATTAACAAACAATGAAAAATTAGTTGGCTTGTAAGGCCAGTGAATTTTCACAATTAAAGCTAAACCAAGTTTGAGAAGTCGGCCTTCAAATAAATACATGGAAAACAAAGACCATCAGAAAGAATACTACTCAGAATACTCATAGAAAGAAATTTCTCCATTCCTAACATCGCTTATAAACACTTCTTTCCAAACTGGTATATTTCCAGATTGTCTCAAAATTAGTAAGGTCGGCCCCATATACATATAAGGATGGTGACGAAAATAATAAGACGAAATAGACTGATATCACTTTCATATATAATTTCAAAAATAAATGAAACTTTGGTCAATACTCAGCTATATAATTATTTAGAGAAGTATGCTATAATAAGTAAAAAAAAATCTGATGTGGTCAGCACATAACCGACCGCATTGTGTATTGTCTAGATAAATGAAAGTGTTACAGAATATTATAAAAATGTCTGTTAAATACTTCTTCCCAATTTTTAGAACATTAGTAAGCTTATAGTTAACATACCTAGAAAAATGTAAATTTGGCTCTTAGTAGAGTTTCGCTTTGTGCTACCCGAATTCCTTGAAATGCTCACCAGTTAGTTTCGGTAACAACCAGAACTCAAATATCAAATTTCAAGAAATTCCATCAATTTGTTCTGTGGATATGGTGAAAAATGTAAAATCGGCCCGCAAATCAGTTCTCGAGCCCTGATCTTTCCAAAAAAGTTATATGTTCATTGCTTTAATATGAGGAATTCATATATTAAATTTCAATGAAATCGGTTGATTATTTCTCTTTATATACACAAAAGTGTATGTTTGGCCCGTAGTAAACGTCTAGTTGCCGATGCCTGATCTTTCCAAAAAATTTACATGTTCATTGTTTTAATATGGGGAATTCATATATTAAATTTCAATGAAATCGGTTGATTATTTCTCTTTATATACACAAAAATGTATATTTGGCCCGTAGTAAACGTCTAGTTGCCGATGCCTGATTTCTTCCAAAACATACGAATTTTTGCGGATGGTCGAGCTGAGCTTATATATAAAATTTAAAGTAATCGGTTGAATGCTTTCTTCAAAATATTCAAAAATGTAAAACAGGCCCGCTAAAAAGTGCAGTTCCCGAGGCCTGATATATACCAAAAGTTGATCGATCCGTGCCATGGTGAAAACAAACTTACATATAAAATTTCATCAAAATCGGTTCAGCCGAACTTGAGATACACGCGTGCACACACAGACCGACAGACCGACAGACCGACAGACCGACAGACGGACAGACCGACAGACCGACAGACCGACAGACCGACAGACCGACAGACCGACAGACCGACAGACCGACAGACCGACAGGTTGTTAAAAATAGTTTATTTACACTTCCCTACTATGGAGAAGTACGTTCCCACCGAAAACTCGATATGCAAAATTTGTTGCCATCACATAACCTACCTATTGTTTACACAATACGGTCGGTAACAATACGGCTTTAAAAAGAAGTCAAGCACAACTTCTGTGTTATTTGATCTTATAACTCATATTAAAAAGGGGCTGAACGCGAAAACAAAAGTAGCCATAGTATTGTTCGATCTGGCAAAGGCTTTTGACTCAGTGGATCGAAATATTCTATTGAAAGTATTACGCAGTCTAAGAGTAACTGGAACCGAATTTGAATGGTTTGTAAGCTATCTCGAAAACAGAAAACAATACACAGAATACGGAAATTTCCAAAGTAAAGTTGAAGCTATATGGTGTTGTTCAGGGGAGCTCGCTGGAGCCAACACTATTTCTGTGTTACATAAATCAGCATTATAAGTTCAGATGGCGATGCAAATGCTAATATAGAAGACAAGCTCAGAAAAGCTAGGGCGGCATTCTCTAGATTCTGGCAGGTTTGGAAATCCCACTAAACACTACAGGAATGTCAAGCTGAGGGTCCTTGACGCCTGCGTTCAGTCTATAATGTTGAACGGCAGTGAAAGTTGGCTCATGAACAAATAAGACATTAACAGAATGCAGGTCTTCATGAATAAGTGCCTTCGCATCATGTGCCAAACATTTTGGCTTAACAGAATTAGAAATAGTGACCTATAAGTTTTATGCAAGCAGAATCCGATAGAAAATCAAATAAGAAAGAAAAAATATAAATGGGTAAGTTACATACTTAGGAGGCCAAATCAGTCCACAGACAAGCAAGCATTAGAATGAAATCTCCAGGGGAGGCGTAATATCGGTAGGCCTCAGAATACATATTGAAGAACAATAAGAAAGGAAATAACAGCCGCGGAAAAACTTGGGCGCAAATAAGATCTGTCGCCCAAAATAGAGAGAGACGAAAAGGTTTAATCAAAATCCTATGATCCTCAACAAGAGTTTGAAAGGAAACAAAAAAATTTGAATGAAACAAAACAAATAAATTGCAAATCATATTCAGTTGCTCATAATATTCTCAATTTAAGTATATTAGAAGATTTAGTTTCATCAGAACAAATTCATTTAGTTTTTATGATAAAAGGAAACGTGCTTAAGTTTATTAGGAAATTACAAAATATTTATTAAATATTTTTTCAAACTATGAAATTTTCTAGTGACAACCTATTTAGAAAATAAAATTTTAAATACAAGTATTCCTCAATTGGAACATTATTTTATCAATTCAAAAAAGTGTTAAATTTTAGAATATAGCTATAAGTACTTTGTTATTAAAAATTCCATTTACATTCTATGAAAAAGTTACTAATTTTTTACACCGACATATAAAATTCACTTAAAAGTTTTCGAAATATTTGGATTATTACAACATTGTTTCAGCTTTTTAGGTTAATTTTAAAGGCTAATATAAAATTTTTATTAAAATACTTTTTTTCATGGTTTAAAATATTAATGTTGCTGATGAAAATGAAACATAATTTTTATATTTTTCGCATTCTCCAGTATTATTCTTTTATAGTTTACCTTCAATATTACGTTAATTCCAACCATAAAACTTTAAGAAATTTCAAATTTAAGTACACATTATTATTCACCATGTTCTTACTAGTATTATTCCATATGAAATTTCACATAATATTATTATTTTAACATTATTATGATAGACCACTAAAAACCGGTCATAAATTGGCAAGTCTAAAATGACAGTACTTTAAAGTTTTACATAAATACGATTGTTAAGTTTCCTCTAATAAAATTTTATGCACAGTCAGATAAGTTATTAAAGAGGAATAAATTACACGTAGTTATAAAGCGACTCTTAAATTTAAGTACAAAAACTACTCGTTTGTAAATACAAAATGCAAAAAAAAAAATCAAGAAAAAGTTGTTTACATAAACTATATTTAGGACTCATTATATTAACCTATTCTGTCCTCCCGTACCCATACTGAGTCAAATGTTTAATTTGCAACGATTTTTTCATATTATATATGTGGCATCTTACGCATGTGAAAAAATAAGTTAAGAAATTCACATATAGATCTAGGATAAACTCTTAAAACTGCAGATAATGGCTTGCTCAACACAGGTGCCATGGCAATAACGCACACGGCTACACTTAAGGTCCTGTTGGCAGACCATCCCGCCAAGAGAGAAACATTGGTAGATTCTAGTTCACAATTGTATACCCTTGAACGAGCTAAGATTTAACTTCAACAAGCCCTTCAAGGTGACGTTTCTCAGAAAGGAAGGTTGGGATAGGCAACATATAAAACATATTGGTTTGACATCATTTCTTAGGTTGTTAAGCAGCTTGTGGGCGTCACCAACGGTTTTCCAGGCGCAGATCTTTACTTTTGCTGTATACGTGAAAGCATTCATAGGGGATATGTGAACAAGACCATTGACATATTCTCAAATAGTCTACGAATGTTCTTGCGCAGTCTGAAGCAACGATGGCCTTTCAATGACTTGTAGAGCTGTAGTTGTAATATGAAGGCGTGTGGGGTGGAATGAATAGGTAGTCGGCAGCAAAAGTGTTTAAATAGGACGCCAGGAATGAGGCAGGCGAAGATTTTATGGGAGATAGCGCTTGGAGAAATTTGTTATTACGTAAACATTAGAGGCCTAGCTCTAACAGTGAGATGCTACAATAAATCTTTATATTCATATATAGATATACTGCGCTATGATGTACCTCTAACCTTCTTTTCATGATTATTAGAGCATCTACCTTATTTAAATAAACAATAATTGGAGCACAATTTTTTCCATACACTTCGTCATTCTGACAACACAACATAATTTGCTTTTGCAAAAATCCCTGGAAAACATAATTTTTTTCTTATACACAATCACATATACGCACATTTAACGGTGAACTCCGATATTCTCGTATATGCAAAACAAACAATTCAATTAAATAACATTACGCTATTTATTCATACACAATTTAACGTCATTTTTTATTACAGTTAATAACAAATTATAAAAAAAAAACCAAAAGAAAATAAAATTATATAAGAAAAAAAAAGCAAAGTAATTTTCCGCCCCTCTATATTTTAAAGTAATTTAAATGTCAATGTAATGAAATCTCGCACATAAATCCAAATGCAAATTTCAGTAAATTACAGTGCAAATGTAAAAAAAAAATTTATATTAAAACATAGTAAAGAAACCTCAAGAGTATTTGCGCGCACACAATATACTTACAAATGTATACACAATATATTATAAAAATAAAAGTAAATAAAAAAGGCGATTACAAAAATTAAAAATTTATATAATAAGGACGAAAAATTCAAAAAAGAAAAAG